ATTATGTAGGAGGCGCCCTAAATCAGAACATCTCTTAAAGTCTTCAATCATCCCATCTGCATCTTAACTTCCATTTCGATCCAAAGCCAATCACTCTTAATCGGATTCCACTTTATACTTTTTTTTATCAAAATGGCTTTTTACCAGAGAAAATTACATCTAATAACTACCATTCGAGCATTCGACCAATCCATCTCTGAGGATTTCTTATAATCTATTGACGTCTTTGGAGCTCGTCACGTGGATAATTATAAATTGCATAAAAACTTAATTGTTTCCAATTAAATTGGGTATTGTTGATAGAAAATATTGAAATTAATAACGATTTAAATACATCCAGTATAAATGGTAGCTGCGTCACAAACAAGTTACATGTTCTTGTGTCGAATCAATTTACAATAAATGTAAAGGTACATGTCACGGGTCATTTGTTTAATAGGATTTCATTGACAAACTTAATGATTGCCAAGTTAAAACTAGTACAATAAAGTTTTAAAATCGTCTCTAATCGTGCCAAGGATAAAATAAATAATTTTCTGACATTATATAACCCGAGTTCTTTATACGAAAAATCGACATTATCGTATTATCTATTTCCATTTATATAAGTAAAACTGTCTAACATATAAAAATTCTGCAATCTGATTTTGTTTATTTGAAAAATAATCTTGTTTGATTATAATAAGAGATTCAGTGAACATAAACCTATTCAAAAGATAGCTCATTAAAATTGTTTGATGTTATGTTTTGAGGAAAATCATGGACAAAATCTGTTGAGAAAAAGTTTAGCTCATTGATTCCTTCTCACTAAAATACCAATTTTATTTATTTTAAATGGCAATACCCTTTGAAGACAAAAAGCCATTTTTTGTTTAATTTTTCCGGCCGCATTATATGTAGTTAAATTTGATGACATAGGGCATATTGCATTAGTAGATATACTAGGCTTATTTCTGTCACGATGCAGTCATGTGGTCTGGTTTAGACGTTGGGACAGTCGTTAGAAATTTCATAGTTTGCTTTTCATTGAAAATTCGTTGTAATAACTTCATAACGAAGGCATCGACATTGTGATCTCTATTTGCTCCAGTAACAACGGTTTAACACGTATATCCATATAGTAAACTGACTCCCGAAAATTAATTAGCCACATACCTTGATTAAGTCATGGTTTGCTGTTCAATTAGCTGTCAGTAAATAAATTGAAAAATTCTAGATTTTTTTACTTATAACAAATTATTTTTTTCGAATATATGTTCCGTCCGATATATTGTTTTCTTTCTAGGAATGTATTATAATTAATATATTTCGAGTAAAGTGTTTCGTTATTGATGTTATATAAAAATGCTACAAAAGCTCTCAACATAAAAGGTCATATGAAAAAACGATAAATATCTTAAAAGCTTTTGACAAGGTCTACTGTGTTTGTCGTACATGTTTTTGATCTTTACATTATTTTTATCATTAAATACATTTTTTGGCACATTCTTAATTATATTATATTGAGAATTTTTTTAGACAATATTAGGTAAGATTCAATATTGAAGTTCTAAAAAAGCTCTTCAAAGTTCAGTAACACATATTTTCGAATTCAATTCGTGTGTTTGTATTACAAGGTACATTGTGTTTAATTTCTAAATTCTTCCATATTTCATATCAGATATCATTACTAACTATAAGTACATGTAAGCAGACAAGTCATGATTATGCTTTTCTTAGTAACTGTACTTTAATTGAACAATAGTGTACAAAATTGTGGTACATGCCTAATCCATTCCCATGTTGTTTATGATGGTGTGGCCGGGCGTATCATTTTTCAAGCATGGATTTGAATTTGGCATTTGATTAGTGCTTATGATATATTTTTCCAGAGACGGGTGTTATTTAATATTTTTAAATAGTTTTATTTTCAAACACTTGTTTTCTTTTTCCTGTTCGATCTCCGCGTTGGCATAAGCTGTATCGGTTTAATAGTCTATTTGCCTTTATTGGGACTATAGTTGATATGTCAGGAATTGTTGATTAGGGTAATTTCGATAAATTTGGACTGGACGTGGACGGAACCTCGGAAAGAAGTAAGTAGTAGTGATTAGAGGAGGTCACAGTACTTTAGTATCTTTCACCTCTAACAAATTAATCAAGCGCCTATTGGTTCAAAATAGAAAACTTATATAGTAGTTGTAACCTTTACTAGCAAAAAGCTTTAATTCAACAAGGTCAAAAATGTTAGTTAGTCGAAACTTTTACACGAATTTTCCAGTTAAGTAAGTCGAAAATTTCTAAAACACACAAAGCTGCGTTTCAAATATAAATTTACATTCAGAGCGGATAGATACAAAGTTAATAAAATTCTTTTCAATTTAAAGCTTGAAAAGGTCGTAGAACATCTTTTGAAAAAGAATATAAAAGATTTTTCTCCAAAAGAAGAAATAAAGCAGTTTCTTTTTTGATTGACTACTTTTAGTAAGACGTTTAGGATTGACTCTGAAAAGTTTTTCTTTTTATAAAATTTGAAGAAAAGTAAAAGTATCTATTAATCTTGTCTTTAAGGAGACACGCAAGTATATTTTCACTTTTCCTTATTATCTGTGAGTTTGTGTACTTCAATCTCTACAAATATAACTATGTCCTGTAATATTTTAATATAAATTAAGGAATAACTAGTGGTTGCGCTGGTTTAAAACTGTTAGTTTTAAGTTTCGAAAAATAGCAACATTTTAATTTGGTTTTGCAAATCCTGTCCCATCCCTCTCCGGCACTTTACCTACGGACGCGTGCGAGCGAGATCGTGTGGTGACATAGAGACGAAAAAATATGGCTGAACAACCGCGCGCGCTCTTCGTGTCTTTGTTATGTTAAATACGTAAATAAGTGAAATCGTTGGTGTTTCTCATCGTGAAGTGGTACGAGTCTGCAGTAAGGACTACATAAAGGTATTGTGCATCCTTCCTTTAACGCAGAACTGCCGCTTCTTATCGTTTCTTCCCGCAGTCTGTGTCCTTCATTTGCAACGACCAAATTTTAAATATTTTCATAGTTTGCTTATCTCGCGTCTACATTTTTTGGTCCTTCGAGCCGGATTCGTATTAAATCAGCGCCAACCATTGCCTAATTTACCTAATATAATTAGAACCGCGTACCAAGTAGGTACTTCGAAAAAATATCGCTTTTCCTGCTTTCTTCTTAAATATCGTTTTCGTTCACATTATAATCACTTATTTACAATATTAAATTAGGCAGATAGAAAACCCGCGTTCTGGTTTCATAATTATATCGGTNGCGTTCCCCCGACCGCTCTGGGGGAAGGTGTAACGCGGCGCCATCAAAGCGGGCTCTCGGCCCGCTGAACGAGGGAACCGGTGGTCGTGTCGCTGGCGGCCACCGGTCCGGCGTCCGTGGGACGGTGGGATGGATGTAATGTGCTCTGCGTCAACCCTGTCCCGCCGTTTCAATAGCCCCGACTGGGCTCCGGCCCGGTCCCAGGTAGGGCGCCGGTTGTGAGCGGCAGGAGTTTTTAGTGAGGTTCAACTCCCACATACCCCACCTGCCGCGCGGGTGGTTATCCGGCGATTTTCTCGTGTGGAAAAAAAAAAAATCACTTCAAGATAGGCTTTGAAAATTATAGATTTTTCTAGATTTTTCCAGGATCTCATCATCAGATCTTGATGATTACAGCACCATTAGGGAAGTCTACCCTTTCGAACAAAAAAAAGAAAATAGAATTATCAGATCGGTTCAAGCACTCGCGAGAAATCGCTGAACATACATAGATAAAAAATGGTGGTCGAATTGATAGTAGATAGCCTCCTCTTTTGAAATCGGTTAAAAAAAGTAATTTTTGTACCTCAAATAGCTCCTTAACATTCTATTATTTAAAAATATTTTCACTTACTAAGATTTATTTCTAAAATTTAGCGTTATTAATAAACTTACGTCGTTGAAGACTTTTATTAAAACTAAAAAATTAATCATAAATACTCAAGCAATTATTGAACATAGAGATTTAATTAACAAGAACAAAATAACATTTCGAAAATCACGAAGTAAAGGTAAAACGTGAGAATTCCCAATGATTAGCACCAAATTGTAGATGCTTAGTGACAGTGTATTTTAACACTGCAGTAGATGGGCACACACAGTTGCTAATTAATTGCTCGAGTCCATCTTAACATATAAGATTGAAACCTTAATTTAATTAGAAATTTAATAATCAGAAAAATGGTATATTTCAAGCTAAAATAATTAATTAACACTTCGCTACAGAAGTAGGCTAGACAGTTGTAGGATTCGTGTGACCCGCCTTACAACACTGGTTGTTAGTATGCTATGGTAAATCTTATGATGTTTTTCCTTCGGGGAAGACGAATGAATGTATGTCAATGAAGGATAGTTGGCCGGAAAAAATAAAATAAATGTGTATTTGTGATCAATTAATATCTTACTTTAATCGACTAAACCGGTTCGTAATATAATTAATGAAGAAGAAAATTAAAATTACACACAAGTAAAATGTGTTTTTTTTTAAATCAAATCAAGCTATTAAAATAAGAAAAAAATGAGTCCAATTCACTTTATGTTGAATAAAATAAGCAGGCTTCAGCTTTCTTCAAAGAATTTTCCATTTCACATGACGTTCACGTAGTGAGGCTAAAAGTGTTCTCCCGTTACAATCAAAATTACTCAAGTAGGGTGTCATTTTTTCCAAGAAAAACGAGCGTCAGAGTGCTTTAAGAAGTTTTGATGTATTCGTAAAATAATTTGGGTGTTGGTTTTTAATATTGCACATGGCCACGCCTAATCGTATAGTATAGTTCTATTTTTAGGAAATTATATTTGCTATTTACGAAATTTAGGAACAGGTATATTTACTGCCGATGTTAGTTTAAGCTTATAATAGTTTTGTTTCTAAATAAATATATAAATGTTATATGTTTTCATGACATCAAATGGTAAACAGCGTTTGATAGAAGAAGATAAATGGAGCGTTTTTTAATTCGCAGGGAGCAGAGTTTGGTGGGCTAAGAAATTCTGCATCCTCACTCTCACGCTTCGCCCGAGTGAGGCGTTTGCCCAGACCTTCACATCGAGTGATTGACCCAAATGAAGGTTGTTTAAAGTTTTAATTATTTTTTACTAGCGATACGCTACGTCTTCACATGAGTGAATCAAGATATTGTGCAGAAAATACCTTACAGTGATTATATTTGAAACGCTTATAATAATATATTTTCTTAAGCTTTTTTTTAGAAAATGCTTTAGTATTACAAATTCCTTCCAAAGCTTTCCGTATAACATTTCAACTCCCAATTCGCGTCGTCAAATTTAAGAAAAAAAAACACCAATATAAACATGGTGGCTAATTTGGACTTGGATAAGCTTGACCAGGCCCAGAAGCCACGTTAAATCAAATAAATAAAAACAAATATCATTTCAGGATTAGGACTTTGTCAAATGAATCTCTTACACAGAACGCGCTTGCTTGCAAATTTTAAATTATTTTCCTCTAATTCCTCGGAAACGGCTTTTATAATAAAAGAAAAAATACTTGACTTCTGTTGTAAATTGTTTAGATTTTAAAAATAATTCATTGTTTATCCTTCCTTGACAGTTAGTGTAATATGTTATTTAAGATATAAAATATTGTATATGATATGTCATATAATAAGAATACCTACGTGAACGAATAATAAAAATGACATAAATTGCCATTTATTTTAGTATCAAAGTGTATGAGTTTCTCATATCTCCATCATGTAAACCCAGGTACACGTTTAATTATTACATAAGAAGTTAACATATGATATGAGGTCATCGCGACCCCTTTAATATATTCCTTTTGTAAGTTTACTTAGAGAAATTTGCCTAATCCTAGCTTGGGTTCCACTTAAACAGCTTCATTGAGAATGATCCGCTAACTCTGATTAATTCCTCCTCAATGCAGACTGTTTTCTGGTAACATCGGACGAGGGGGAGCTGTTTTTTAAGTCACCCTCTGATGAACCCACCGTATGCGGTATCTATATGATAGCGGAACCAGACAAGAAGATTGAGGTCGTCTTCAATTACCTTGATGTGCCGTGCGATAATGGAGGACTCGTTGCGGTAATAAACTACGCTCTTAGTGACATTGGGTGTGTGCTTTGCAGTAGGCATTTCAGGATTGTTTCTAGTATAAGTCCAGTGTAATAATGCATTGGATCAGAAAACAATTTTTTTTAAGTAATTTCGACTAAAGGAATGGTAATTTAAAAACCGATCGACAATAGACATTATTTTTAATATCCTATAAATATTTTCAGAAGTAAAAAAGATATGAGAAATTTTAGTATACTACATTTCATACAGAGATTGTATTATAGAAAGTTATGATGTTAATATTCACGTTTGGCATACAAATTGCATGGTAAAACTCACTTACACAATTCAATTTCTCTCTTTGAAAACTGTCCTTTCAGTTAAAACAATTTTAACGCGAACATCCAGTGTCATTTACAGAGATTTAAATTATTTATTCAATTTAAAAATTTGTTTCTAAAAAATATAAGTTTTATTGAGTATCGGTAATATTAAGGGTGAAAAAATAATTAAGCTCGTTAATATTTCCTTGTAAGTGATATTGGACTTCATTAGATAATAACAATAAAATTTACTGAATTTATAATTTTCAATTTGTTTAACTCATATAAGGGAATTCTAAAACCTAGCCCTTTTATTTGTAACGTCGATATAAGACGAGAAAATCAATATCCAATATAATATTATACATTTTGTTCATTTCCAGAAAAAATCTTTAAAGTTATCATCGCCCCAGCTCTCACGTATTTCAATATCTTGTATCTGAAATGAGACATCTTAAATAAATATTTTACACACCTTTTTTTGATCAATCGTTGTACTACCTATACCATTACTATATATACTATACCATTTTTATGCTGTTATAATTATTGTATGATGATAAAATATTTATTTCAGTGGATCGACGGTTGGGAGCTTAATGGTCAGGTGTGGCCTGCAGATTCTTGGGACGATGACAGGCTTGTTGAATCTTGTGACAAACGACCAAACCGGAAACTCGTGTCTCGTCAAAATGCAGCTCTCATACAATATCGCGTGCCAGCTCAAGGAAAAGGTTTCGCGGTCACTATTCGCCACGTACGGAATGCTAGACGTGAGTGCGGCATACGTACCTACGGATTGATAAATAAAAAAGATGTGTGTAAAAAAGGTGTCGTGGGACAACGAAGTTCCTTATTATAAAAATATTAATTTTAAGTTCTATTCGAGGTATAAAGAAAATAAAACTGGAGGTTTCGCAACAACCCGCGGTCATTCGGTAACGTGCGAACTTATTGTGGTACACTTCATTCACGGTTTAGTGTATTGCGCAAACGAACGCTCTCAGATCGTGGTCAATTAATGATAAAAAAATATGTTATTTTTTGTACGTTATTACAAAGTTAAGTCATACACTGTGTGCATTACTAATTTGTACATTATTACAAAGTTAAGTCATACACTGTGTGCATTACTAGTTTGAACGTTATAACAAAGTTAAGTCATACACTGTGTGCATTACTAATAAAAAACTTACGTTACAGACGTTTTTTCCCGGTTAGGGTACCCTCCGCATCGTTCCGTAAGGAACTTCGTTCCAAAAAAATTTAGGTTTTTCAAATAACCTTATTTTGAAGGAAATGATTAAAGTAAATGCAGAACTTGATATGTATCAATAAATACCGATGGGTAAAAATCTGCTGTCGCTGATAGGTATCGTGGATCACGTAACTTGATTCTATCGAACTTAATTATTCTACAGCTTGTAATGTGATGCTGTTCGGTACCGAGGGTGTTTTCACTCTGCGCAATCATGGAGAAACGGGGAATTGTACCTTAATAACAGTTTCTCCATCGACGGTCCAAGTGTTAGACTTGAATGTTGGGCAAACTGCTAAAAAGGGACGGCTTTTGGAATTGGAAACAGGAACGATTCATCATGTAAGTAATTCGGAAGTCATTGTGACTTTCAGTTTATAAATGATAATTAATTTAATATGCTAATTAATTTCAGTATAGGCAGGAAGAGTTTAAAGCGTGATGTGTGCAAATTCATATTATTTAGAATTCGAATCCTTTATAAATCTGGTTTTAATTAAAATATATATTCATATTCTGGTCAATAGCTTCCAATAAATGTTTACTCTGGCGGTTTTAGTACTTTGTTTCATCAAATATGAAGAAGATAAACTATTAGCTCATGCACAATAATTTTTTTTAAATTATAATTAAATGTTGCGGTTACAAAATTTCACGAAATGAAATCCACTTAAATTTAGTTTAACCTAATAGTAATCCTGGACGCCCCTTATATTATGCTTCTAATTTAATTTTAATTCTCCTCGTCAAATTTTGGAGTAAAGTTTGGAACTCGAGCCTAAATGCGTTGACTTTGTCTTAACCCATTTAAAAGGCAATTTGACAGTAATCGCTTTCTGTTATCGCTGGGATAGGTAATGATGGAACTGCGATCGACAGAGGGGAAATTTACCCAAAATAAGTCTTTGTATAAACTATTAATTCTCTCTCTTATTAAAATAAATGACAAGCGTCGAAGGGTGATTTGCATATATGACTGAACATAGATCAAAGTTAATAAATGTTACAGAGACACGCAAGCATTTAATTTAGTTGTGATGGACATGTTCATGCTTTATAGGTTCATTAATGTTTCCCAGATATTTGCGTTCCACCCATTCCCACAATTGTGACTACGGTGTAGCCAGTATCCACTGAGAGAATTACACTAAAGTATTCTAAATGTTTAAGTTTAGGTAGCCCGAGGGAAATCCAATTTGTGTTGGAACCTGCTCCTTAATTAATACTAGAAATAATACTTCAATAAGATTTCTTGTTCAATACAATGAAGAGTTAATTAATAAATACGGTATAGATGAAATAATAGCCTATAGTCAAAACATTTATATACGTAAGTTAGTGTTTCGGCTACATGTAGGCTTCAAATAAAACAATATAAAAACACAAAAGTAAATATTAGAATTGTATATAATATATGATTATTAATTTATGTGTTGAAATATTTTTATTTCATTCTACAAAACGACCTTGATACGGCTAAACTAACTGGGAACAATGCTGGCTAGCTTGGAGCGTTCATTTTGGCAATGTTTTTTTTCCCTTTTGTTACATTTCGTTAATTAAGTATATTCATGTTTTAGAAAATACTTCTTCAGTGCCTGAAGCTATTCTGTGTATTTTATTAACGAAAGTACTTTAACCACCTGTCTAGTGCACAAAGCGAGGCTTGCCTGACCATGTGGACATTGGGGGCGCAAGCGGTCTGGACCACACCAAAATGGAGGTGTTCGACAGTTTGTGTGGACTCGATTCTAATGAAGGTATTTCCTAGGATTTAGTACAGTAAAATGTATATAGCAACGTTGAAGCATTAAGATTTACGTGTGTATTTCAAACATGGAAATTGTTGTCGGGATTGTGAGATTACGTTATTTAATTTAGCTTTTTAGAAATGATTTTGAGAAATTTTCGAGTGAATAAAATTCGTTCATTTCAGGATTCAAGTTGGGATGTAAATATAAAATATTTAGTTAATTTTAAATTATTTGATTTATAATATTTCAGGATGTAGTATAGTTTATTAAATTTTGTAGTCAGTCATTTTAATGCAATTAGACTGTTATATAAATTGCATGCGGCATTTGAGCTTGTGGCATAGTAACATTATTTAATACAATTCACGGATACACCAAGTTTCTTATTCTTTAGTGAAGGCTACAATTTTCATTGAAACTAAACTGGTCCTTTTTAAACATCAATTTTGGTCAAATCACAAAAAACGTAGAAGGCAGGAAAAACGTTTGTCTTTAACTTCGATCAGAATGAAATTCTAATAAAAAGCTGCAATATGTTATAATGCTATTTTCAATTCTACGATAAACGAATAACTCTTGGTTGGCACAAAAAGGGGATTCGATATTGCGTTGTAATAGAATTTCGATAAAGCCATTCATATTTATGACGATTTATAAACGCTCTTCAGTAGCATCTCTAATATTCCGTATTGATTTTATATAGATGTGTTAATATTTTTTATGCACATTTATGTATAAGAGAATTCAAAAATGTTATAATGATCTACTACTACTATATTGTATTTCAACTTTATTTCAATGAAAAACGGACAACGAAAGAATACATCGTATCACGAAATATTTTTTTAATATTCATATACATTATTTTCTTTCTAATCTATTTGTATTACGTGAGGTATCTTAGATTTTTGCAAGTCGTAGATATAATATAAAAATAGAGGGAATAATAAAAAATAAGCACTAATAATAAATAAAGGAAATAAAAATAGAGAAAAAGGATCTATAAAAACAGTAAAAACAGTATGTATATTGGTATATATTTCATATTATATGTAAACGGTACATATTTTGTTTATTGTATGTATATATTTTGTATAATAATGTATTATAATATATATTACACCGCAACATACCTGCTATATATTTATATTTTATAGAATTTCTGTAAATTAAACGGTTGTCTGGAAGGGATCGCTTTTAGCGATAAGACTGCTTATTGTACAAATGTATCTGCTTTTTTTGATTGTTTTTTGAATGTAAATTGTGTTTTGGTGTGCAATAAAGTGTATTCTCTCGTATTCTCTCTCTCTCTCTCTCTCTCTCTCTCTCTCTCTCTCTCTAAAAACAGTTTAAAACATCCTCTGATGATTGTGACTATGCTATTCTTACAGCATCGTGAGTACAGTTTGTGTTATGCAGTTATTTTGATTTTCAGCTCGTCGAGCATCGTTGATCGCGTGCGAAGACACTGTAGCACGACTCGTCTCCAGCGGGAAATATCACAACTCCATCACTTTGGCTTTTACTCCACTCTCACTGGACGACATCGAACATGCAGACCTTATATGCGGACTTAATGACCTCTAAATCTGACCTGTCTTGATCAATTGAAAAATGAATGTTATACCCTTCGATGTACGCTATTATGCTTTTGATTCAAATATGAAGTCACGAAAAGTAACCTGATAGAAAACATGAAATCGTTGTTTAATTCAAATTTCACTACCAAAAAATAATTTCAGTAACCTAAAGATTATTATTATTATTATTCATTCAAATAAAGGAAATTATAATTATATAATTATAGTATTCTAGATGTAAGTTCCGTAGTTTTACAATTTCCTATTCAATCGACACTTTCTAAGTAAGCCAAGGTAGGTCTATTGCAATTTGCTATTGAAAGTGCATTATTTTAGAAAGGTTGGACAAATAATGCTATTTTAAAGTAGGTATTTGTAATATGAATTCAAATTCAATAAAGGTTTTTAGGGAAGAAAAATTTTCAGATTGCTCAGAAATGGAAAGTTAGGCAAGATATCGTTGATCAAATATCCTATCACGGTAAGTAATCAATTTTGACATTCTAAGGCTGTGAGTGCACCATTATTATAATCAACCTATAAAAACAAATCACCACAATTGCAGTCAAAACGAGAGGTGCTATATTTTTTTATAAAAAGCAGTTAAAGACGTTCAGTATATGTTTTCAATATTAAAATGCGGTATTATAAACGTAAAAATTTGTCATCTACTTGAAGTGAAATATGCCAAGATCTGTACTTAACACAAACGAATAATATTATATACGATGGTATAAAGTTGTTTCATTCTACCTTCATAACTAAGGATCAAATCATAAAATTGCTGCTTCATACAATACGCTAAGTCAAAGTTAGTGAGCTTAAGTTGCAGTTGTATTGGACTCGCAAAAGAAACTTATCTACACACACATACACGTTTGTGGTTTATGTATTTTTTGTGTATCAGTATTTCAGCAATTTATATTCTAATATGGATATACAACAGTTCAATACTAACTGCAATGGAATATTTTGTAAAGTAAATCTTTAGAACTACTTTAGTTTACCTAGATTGTGTCGAAATTAAGATACTGAAAGAAATATTGAACTTATAGATGTAACTTATATCAAGTTTTAGGTAATTGGTTTCTAAATGGAGCCGAACTTACGACTTACTTATTTTGAAATCTTTTTTTTGCTGTTCTAACACTGTAACCAATAATTTGTAATACATACTAATATAAACAATATTTTTACCATTTGTTTACATTTTAGTTGCGAGTATTCGATACTAAAACAGCTTCTAATCTTTACGGGAACTCGATCAGAAAAGACAATGTTAAAGTATTAGACCACAAGAATATTACAAAAGATCAAGATTTGTTATCATCCACGACCACGCCCCTCAAATGTACCGTTAAGTGATATATGGTATATTTTTTCCACGATTTTGCTGTACAAAAATAATCCCATTTTATAAAATAACACTTTAATTATAACAAAATTATTTGGTGCATTCGAAATACTCTCGTCATTGTATTTTGTCTTGTGATTTAGATATGATATAGATTTTAGTGAAGTTAATAAATAAATGTGTATGTATGTCAAACGTTTTTTAATAAATTCACTAGAGACACACGCTCACACTGAAGTTTAAACATGTCATAGCATTCTACAATTACCACCACTATTAATTATTAATAATTGAAATTCAGTATTCCGCTGCGCGGTCTCCACTCGAGAGCCCGTCTGCTCCAGCGATCGTCAGTCCTACGGCATATATAGCCAGCCCACTGCCACTTCAGCATGCTGTCTCTTTGAGCTATGTCGATGACTTTAGTTCTCTGTCAAATAATCTCATTCCGGATTTTATCAAAACGTAACGTGGGACGCCCCCTGGCTAGGTGGTGCGATGACCTCCGCAGGGTGGCTGGCAAGAAGTGGATGAGGAGAGCCGCAGACCGGGCTCGGTGGTGTGAATTGGGAGAGGCCATGTCCAGCAGTGGACGACTGTGGGCTGTTGATGATGATGATGATGATGAAATTCAGTTACAGTGATATTGGTTTACTACTGATACTACCTACATATTTCTTACACTATCAAAGGCAGATGATGCAACACAGCAATATCAATCTCTACATACTGTTGGGAATAAAAATCTCACGGCGGTCAGGATAGTCAATAAAAAAAATACGAAACATTTAACAGCAGTTAGAAAGATAAAAGATACTTTATTCTAATGTCATCAAGAATTTGTCTCGAGCTTCAAGGTGTGCAGCTTTGTTTGTGTACATTATGATACTTATGGGCTTTCTTCACTTCACACGATTTTTTTATTGCTTAGATGAGTGGTCGAGCTCACAGCCCACCTCGTGTTAAGTGGTTACCGGAGCCCATAGACATCTTGAGAAATAAGTTCTAAGGTCTGAAGTATAGTTACAACGGCTGCCCTACCCTTCAAACCGAAACGCATTTCTGCTTCACGGCAGAAATTAGCACGGCGGTGGTGCCTACCCGTGTGGACTCACCTACCACCAGTAAATAATTAGAGTTATCTGCCTATCTTTTGAAGTCGTCGTGGCCTAAGAGATAAGACGTCCGGTGCATTCGTGTTGAGCGATGCACATGTGTTCGAATCCCAGGGTACCAATTTTTCTAATGAATTACGTACTCAACAAATGTTCACGATCGGCTTCCACTGTGAAGGAATAACATCGTGTAATAAAAATCAAACCCGCAAAATTATAATTTGCGTAATTACTGGTGGCAGGATCTCTTGTGAGTCCGCACGGGTAGGTACCACCACCCTGCCTATTTTTGCCGTGAAGCAGTAATGCGTTTCGGTTTGAAAGGTGGGGCAGCCGTTGTAACTACTTAGTCTGGCCATAAATACTGTTACAAAGGAAAACAAAAAAAATTATATGGCAAATAATATTTATTACTTTTACAGTGTCTTAGTTTAATACATAAATATAAAACAATTTAAAGTGTAAAAAGCTTATTCGAAGTGGTTGGTCTCCATTGGCTGCAATACAGTCCTTTTAACGTTCAGGCCAGTTATCATTAGAAGCACGCACTCTTTCCATGGGAAAAATTTTCACTGCCAATCGTACGGATTGTTTTAGGGACTCAAAATTATCATGGCGTTTAGAGCAAGCCGTACTCTCTAAAACTGACCATAAATCATAATCCAGCGGATTAAGATCGGGACTAGACGACAGCCAGTCTTCAGCTCTGGTGAAGTCTGAAACGATCGTTTCCAACCAAGACTGCGTAGACCGAGCTTTATGACCTGGCGCCGAGTCTTGCTGGAACATCGTGTAATAAAAATGAAACCCGCAAAATTATAATTGGCGTAATTACTGGTGGTAGGACCTCTTGTGAGTCCGCGCGGGCGGGTACCACCACCCTGCCTATTTCTGCCGTGAAGCAGTAATGCGTTTCGGTTTGAAGGGTGGGGCAGCCGTTGTAACTATACTTGAGACCTTAGAACTTGTATCTCAAGGTGGGTGGCGCATTTACGTTGTGGATGTATATGGGCTGCAGTAACCACTTAACACCAGGTGGGCTGTGAGGTCGTCCACCCATCTAAGCAATAAAAAAAAAACCTTAGGTAGTTGAGCTGAGCTACATAGTAAGTCTAACAACAGACGCAGTATGAATGAAATCGAATACACATCCGTATCTATCTGTATATTTCCGGCACTCTGACCAATTGCTTACAACTCTAGTTACGAAACCACTTGACACAGTCCTAAACAAACGTACAGTAATAGGATCGTGTTTGTAGTTTTCTGAACTTTGATAAATATTGAACGATTGACGCTCAGTTTGTCTTATTCGTCATCTAAGTTTTTTCTGATGAATCGGTTGATTTATAAAAAAAAATGTTTTTGTACAAAGATAATGTAGATCCTGAAACCATACATTTATTGTCTTATCGGTCTCGTAGCTAGTGACTTTGACCAATGTACCACGGGTTTTGCCTCAATTCACGATATATCCGTAAAAGCTTTTCAGTATTCAGGCTATTGTAGAACTTGCGTTTGGTTCTTTCTTCGTTAAAAGTAGTATTAATTTTTCTTGTGCTTGTTTTGAATGCGGAGCGTTACTTTTAATTGATTTGAATGAATAATCTCAGAATTGAGTTTCGCGCCTCACTCTTATTTATTTTATGTCGACTAAATAAAAACGTCTAGCTTAATGGTTTGACTTTAATGTTCATACACATGAGTAGTTAGTGTAGTTTCTACTAACTAGTTAAGCTCTACCTTGCATTTAAATAGTGGTAAAAGAGTTCAGTTTTTCTTCAACCATAAGTTTTAAGTTTCCATATCTAGCCTTCTATAAATTCAAAACCTCGTTCAAACTTTATTTCAATAATTTATGATAGTCGAAACCTAGCTTCCTACATAGAAAGAACAAAACGATCATTAGACCTGTCGTGCTGTATGGATCTGAATGCTGGGCGACGAAAGTAAAGCATGAAGGAGAGTAAAGCATGCAGCAGAGATGCGAATGTTGAGATAGATGTGTGGAGTGACAAGAGTGGATAAGAAAAGGAATGAGTATATCAGATGAAGTGTGAAAGTAGCCCCGGTGATTGACAAATTAAAGAGCGGACGGTTAGCGTGGTATGGACATGTGATGCGTAGAGAGGAGATGCATATGACTTGGAGATATATGGAAATTGTAGTGCAAGGTAGAGAGGGAAGAGGTCGACCGAAGAAGATATGGATGGAGTGTGAGTGAATGACGATATGAGAGAGAGGAGTGAGTGTTCACAATTAGAACTTTTAAAAGTTAAAATATGAATAAAAAATGACCTGAATATTTATTTATGCACAGGTAAACAATGTCAATGCTCACCTGATATTAAGTACCGGAGCCCGTGGACATCAAAAAAGCGAATGCTGCCGTCTACATTGACATGAAGTCGAAAACTCAATTTTAAACCTTTTTTTTTTATTGCTTAGATGGGTGGACGAGCTCCCAGCGCACCTGGTGTTAAGTGGTTACTGGAGCCCATAGACATCCACAACGTAAATGCGCCACCCACCTTGAGATATGAGTTCTAAGGTCTCAAATATAGTTACAACGGCTGCCCCACCCTTCAAACCGAAACGCATTACTGCTTCACGGCAGAAATAGGCAGGGCGGTGGTACCTACCCGTGCGGACTTACAAGAGGTCCTACCACCAGTAATTACGCAAATTATGTAGGTAATTATGCGGGTTTCATTTTTATTACACGATCTTATTCCTTCACCTTGGAAGTCAATCGTGAACATTTGTTAAGTACGTATTTCATTGGACATGAGGTCGAAGTCTCAAGTATATTGCATAGCTGCTTTGCGGTAGAAATAAGCAGAATGGTTGTTCCTACTCGAGCGGTGTCACACACGCCGTATATTGCTTTTGTAACATTGGATCAATGTTTTTGTTACATTTTTTTTGGCATATCATGATTTTTATTTTTACTCACTATCTTTATATTTGGTAAAATTGAAAAGAACGAATTAAGGCGAATTAAATTAAATTTTATTGAATAAACTTCCGGATAGATTAACTAACAATCACCAAGCAAAACAACTTATGTAACAAGTTTTCGAATATCAATTAGTTTGCTGACGCTACTTGAAATAAATAATATCGTGCGACTGTACAAACGAATTTACACGACAAAACTCTATTCAACATCTAAGTCGTTTACATAATATATTTTCTATTATTATTAATAACGTTGAACTAATTTTAACAAACTACAACTAGTGTGGCTTGACACGTGATAAATTAATACAAAAAAAAACGCACATAAAAGCGCTAAAAGCACAGTACAGATTCAATATCCGAAATATTAAACAGATATTGTCGACGTCATTCGCAATTTTTTTTTTGTTGTCGTTACTAACAGTACAAAAATGATAAAGTGCACAATAATGTGTAGATATACGTACATTAAATTAGCACCTAACTTGTCAAGCAATACCTAAACATTATCTGTTAAAGACGTAAGCTTCGTTAGATAAATAACATCTAACTCTAACATATAGTCATCTAGTGTCTAGGTAAACGCATTTACTACAAATTTACTAAACGTATAGTACGCGTTTATATAAACAGCTCGCTGTTTTAGTAAGTGCTTTGTATTTTATTAGCATACAGAAGCAATACATTGAGTCCAAGTCTTCTAACCTTAAAAACTAACTATAGATGAATAGCATGAATACATTTACACACAATTGTGGATTATCAAACTGTTTTTCCATTTATTTTATAACGTACTATCGAGTGCAGAGTTGTCTTAGTTGCTATACGTTGATGAAACTCAAGCATATAAAATAACTCGAATAATAACTCATCATTTAAAAACAAAAATTTTTTTTTTACCATCCCTATCGGTTGAATTTTAAATTCTAAATTAATATCATCTCTCAGAGTTATGTAAGAAAGAATATTAAGTGCACATACAAGAATTTGATTATTCAAATTAAAATCTACAGCTTTATCCAACTTAAATTTGATTTGTAAAACAACCAAACAAAATGTATAATTTTTAAGACCTAATTCCTAATTAATATTTTATTAAGACTAAATTAATATTTAGATAAAACAAAGCAATTACAACAAGTGTTTTCTGAGCACTGTATATTGAAATTTCAGACAGCTTTTCCTTTAACCGTTAGGGAAATACTGCACATCTATATGACGACATATAGATATATAATAATGTAATATTACTGGGTGTGGATTTATATAGTTATAGTATTCTCAAAAATATCGGCTATTACTAGGTGGCTATCTAAAGTTAAAAATAAATATGTTAGGCCCTTCGCTAAAACTGACTCAAAAGAATAACGTATAAAGGCTATACATGAAACAAAATCGAATATACGATATGCAAAAAAATATAACCTAATATTATGATTGCATGAATCTAGTAATGTTAGCTATTATTTTCGTAGTACGAGTATAAGGTTAAATTTCATTACGAATGTGAGATCTGAATTATAAAAGAAATAAAGATAAAAAAATGACTTCGTGTATCACTCACTCTGTCTTAAGGTACAGTTTAACTTTGGCATTATTTTATGAATTCTGATTAAAAAGCGGTTGAATTTTTGTTCTAATAGAGCTTACCCACGACTGCCAAAACTAGATTACAATATTACGCGAACTACACTTTTCAAAATATATTTATTTTCACTACATCACTACACTACAAGACAGAGATACCAACAATTAATACATCACATATACCTAATTTAGCTCTGTTGTGGTTAGTTCATTTAGTAACAGTAATAGATCGGAAAGGTTTTCTTGTTTTAGTACATACAGCATTACCAATTTTTTTTTTTTTTTATTTGTATTTAAATCCTCTAAAGATAAAGTAAGTTTTTCGTCAATTTAAGAGCGATGCGTTAAATTTTTGAACATACGCTGAGTTTGTAGTTTCAGCTATGTTTATTAATACATAGTTGTGTATGTGTGTGTGTGTGTGTGTGTTTTGAAATATCTACTTATATTACATGGATCATTACGAAAAACTTTATATCTTAAACTAACTAATTAAAGCTATCCCATACAACATTTCAATTTGTGCTTTAATACAACAAGAAAGCGAGTGTCGTGTTTTCAAACGATTGCACTACGATTGGATGAAGATAAGACGACCTGATAAATATATATTCGTTTTCTAAGTAAAAATAAAAGTATTTAATACTTCCAAGCTTATTCAGACGCCTTGCTTTTTTTATTGGCTTTGTAGGCAGACGAGCATAAAGCCCAACTGATGGTAAGTGGTTACCATCGCTCATGGATGTTGTCACGGAACGTAGCTTTTGTGATCTGAGTCTGGCAGCACGGTCTTAAGAAAAAACACTTGTCAAAAATATGTGAAGCGAACCGGTAGTAGTTTTTTAGTTTTACTTAAGTTAATATTGTAAATGTGCTAAATACACGGTCATACGGAAGAAAATGTCGTATTAATCGATAACAAGTATTTTCCCTCAAGATCCGTCACAGATGATGTCAACAATGCCAGGGACACAGCTAAGTCGCTGCATACCCGGAATAATACTGTTGCCGTTTGGACTGTTTTAACACTTTGCCAAGAGTTTGATTGTACGTAGTACTCGTAGAACGAATAGCACGTACAGTTTGAATAAGCCCGGAAGGTTCTAATGTCATTAATTCACATGCTTATTATTAATTGACAATCGCATAGTTATTACAGTAATAATAATAATACGTTACCGCTAAAATTTTTACTAGTACAAATATTGTTAAAGTATAAAAAGTTACTAAGTTCATAAGATTATTTTCACTTAAAGCATTTTCAAGCTACTAATTACGTTGTGTTTGGAATGTTTCAATGCCTGAATTGGAGACGATTTTTTTTTTGTTTTGTCCTTTTATATAGCCGATATGTGATGCCCTTTATTTATGATGCATTCCGGTACTGACACAAAATATATCTCATTAAATGATTATCGAAACCATAATGTGAATTTCGTTGCGAATGTAGCGATATGAAGTCGAGCATCTTTTGTAGTATAAAATGGCTGTATCGCCCTTGAAACTATATCGCGGATAAACGAAAATGTGACTCGTTTTGCACCAGAAATACGCAGGTTAGTGTATCCTTCCTTCGGCGGACTCACAATACGGCTTACGACTTTTAAAAGTTAGTATTATTTGTCAAATGTGTCAAATTGCCAAAATAGTGTCACTATCAAATGATGATAGTATCAATTTTATTTAGGTATAATTTAATTGACTATTTATTTATTACCCATAGTTCATTTAGATATGTCCGTGATAATTTCAAAATGAAGGCATTTCACTAAAATACATATATTTTAATGTGATAAATCTAATACAGTCATGTTTTAAGAGAGTTACTACTAAATAAATTATTTTGAAAAATCAGTCAGAAGATATTTAAGGATCTACTTGTGTGCTTTAAGTTTTTATAACATTTTCTTTTATCTATGAAAAAGAAATACTCACTTACAAAATATTATTTCTGTTCGAAGTCATAAGAATTTAGAATTCATAAGATTATTAAATGGTACGATTCTATAGCGAACTATATTATAAATATATTGTTAAAAATTCACTTCACAGTATACAGTTGACCTATACTTGTCTATATAAATTCTTAAAATTTGCTACAATATAGATATGTTTCATTTGCATATAAGCAGAGAGGCACATATTTGATATGTATATGTCTTACGACTGTTTTGTGGGAAGCATCGCTTTTAAGTTCAAAGCTTCTTCTCTAATAACTTAATGTTAAAAAATTACAAAGACATTCATTATTTATATCATACTTTGTAAATACTCCTAAAGTGAAATAGATTTAGAATACAACATCAAACATTCAAAGCAACTATAGAGAGGAACATCAATAAACTAAACAATTAACATTCAGCACATTTTCGTTACCAACATTTGAATATCAATTTGAATAATATCTAACATTTCAATTAAAATTTAACATCAATACAGCTAGTACATATTACAATAATTTAAATTCAATGAGAAACACAACGAAATCATTTAACAATATAAAAAAAAATGTCTTTTCAAAAACTTGACTTGAAATCATGGCGAAAAACATTTATATCATTTGCCGCACTCGCATTGTTATCAGGGTCAAAATCGATGGCTTCCCAATAATTAAGTCCGATTATCTTTTCACTTACACCAACATTCCATTACATTGTCCAATTTCTTCTTCAGACCCTACCAAATTTCTATACCCTTTTCGATATGCAATGTCTCTAATGTTACTAAATTAAGAAATAATTCTAACGTCAACGTCTACACACATACAGCCGTTATTATTCACTTTAATGGTCCTTTTCACTTCGAAGCGCGGACAAGACTACTTTATTTTTAATTTAAAATTTACAAAGCAATAGTGATTGCCAAAGTGGTGAGAAGGGTTACAGGGAGGGCAGTGCCGGCGACACTGCTGTAAGGACCGGTCACGGCCCCGTCACACGGTACACGCTCCAACTCTGAAATGAGAGTGATGAGATTTTAATGCATTGGAATAATTACGAATTGTTCTTCACTAATGCATTGTTCATATTGAAAATATTTGAAGGGTGGGGCAGCCGTTGTAACTATACTTGAGACCTTAGAACTTACATCTTAAGGTGGGTGGCGCATTAACGTTGTGGATGTCTATGGCTTCCAGTAACCACTTAACACCAGGTGGGCTGTGAGCTCGTCCACCCATCTAATCAATAAAAATAAAAAAAAACAATTCACTAGTTGATCGATGTCGTGACTGTTATGTATTAATTAAATTATTATACAAATAGATGGCCAAATTTAAAACAATTTAAATTTTAAATATCTAGTCTTGCCATAAATACTGAACAAAAGAAAAAAAAAATTCTATTGCAAGTAACATTTATTACTTTTACAGTGTGTTAGTTTAATACATAAATATAAAACAATTTAAAAAAAGCTTATTCGAAGTGGTCTCCATTGGCTGCAATACAGTCCTTTAAACGTTCAGGCCAGTTATCAATAGAAGCACGCACTCTTTCCATGGGAAAAATTTTCACTACCGATCGTACGGATTGTTTTAGGGACTCCAAATTATCATGGCGTTTAGAGCAAGCCGTACTCTCTAAAACTGACCATGAATCATAATCCAGCGGATTAAGATCGGGACTAGACGACGGCCAGTATTCAGCTCTGATGAAGTCCGAAACGTTCGTTTCCAACCAAGACTGCGTAGACCGAGCTTTATGACCTGGCGCCGAGTCTTGCTGGAAGGACCATTCTTGATTATTGGACATGATGTTGTTAAGGGGCTTCACTACCTTCTCAATAATGGTATCTTGATACAATTGTGCCGATGTTTTGATACCTTTTTCACAAAAGTATGGCTCAGTCACTCCTTCATAGCTAATACCCCACCAAACCATCACTGAAATCGGATAGTGCCCACGTTGCACTCTGTCGACTAATTGGGAAGCTTCCTTAGAGTGTAAAAATTTTCTCATCCGTAAACAAAAAATTTCTATGACCTCCCTTTGCGTACCGCTTCAGTAGTTGTTTCGATTTTACCACCCTATTCTCTTTTAAATTATCAGTTAAGAAATGACCAGTACGTCTCTTATAGGCTGCAAGTCCTAAGTCATCTTTTAAAATATGCTACATGGTTCTAGGTGCTATCTTCATCTCCAGAGATAAAATCTTTTGCTTTCGGACAGGATTTCTTCGAATTCTTTCCCTTACTGCTTTGACGACCTTTTTCGTACGAACACTACGTGGATGGCCCGATCTTTTTCTGTCAAACAGAGGAGGTCTCATTGCACCTATTAATAGCCCGGTACACAAACATTTTACTAATACCAAGCGTATGGAGAGTTTTAAAAATTGCATTTGGCTCCATACCTACTTTGTGTAATGCAATCGCAGCGATTCGGTTCTCTTTATCACCCCACTCCATTTTAAAATCGCAAAATATTGTACAATGTATTGGCGCCAAAATGAGAAAACTCAATGAGCAATCATATAAAAATGAGAGATTCCAAACTCAAATGTAATATTTTGTTTATTTTTAATTGTAACAGTATTTATGGCCAGACTAAGTATAATCAGTGCATTAATGAAATTATTGAAATTAACATCTAAACTTCCGTGATAATAGCAATTAAACTATTGGATGTAGTTCGTAAGTGACTGCTGCAATGTGTGTCGCGCTCTTGAACGTTGACCTCCGTATTTAAAACAATGTCATCACTCTAGCATGAAATTTAAACGCTCATAATTTCCGTACTACCGAATTAAAGCAGTTGTATCCCACAACTTGAATTAGTTTGAAAGGTGGGGCAGCCGTTGTAACTATACTTGAGACCTTAGAACTTACATCTCAAAATGGGGGGCGCATTTACGTTATAGATGTCTATGGGCTCCAGTAACCCCTTAATACCAGGTGGGTTGTGAGCTCGTCCACCTATCAATGCAATAAAAAAAAAATGGTTGTCTATAAAGTCGGTTTACTGACGATAGTTGAACGTAACAACATCATAAGAAAATACTGATGGCGTTTCATTTTTCCATTATCGCAATTATCGTTGCTATAAACAATTGACATCACATTCACTTTTCACTGAACTTCATACTTGACAAAAACATGTAAATGTATTATTGTATAGCAGCTGTCCACGCGGATGCATCGCACACTCAAGTAGGAGAGAGACAGATGTCGAACGCTGCCAAACGCGGAGGCCGATTGTGCCTCTTTGTCGCTCGTTGCGCGCTCTCGCTTTTTTTTTTATTGCCTTTGTAGGCAGACGGGCATACGGCCCACCTGATGGTGAGTGGTTACCGTCGCCCATGGACTTCAGCAATGCCAGGGGCAGAGCCAAGCCGCTGCCTACCGACTTGCTTGCACTTGAAGCCTTAAATGGAACGCCTCAGAGCGAGGTAACGCCGCATGAGTCATGTTTTTTCGTGCGTGCAGCCGGCTTCATCGAATTATAAGACGTTGTCACGTCAAAAAACTGTTCCATCGGTAGTTTTTTTTAATGATGATAAAAATATCGTTAATACGCGAAACAAGTACTTGCCGTTAAGTTTGTTCAAGAAATCGTTCCAGAAAGCGCAAGCGGAGGCACGCGGGCCGCGGGGTCCGGCTGGACCGCTTGGACCCACCGCCGTGTATGTGTAGTAATGAGGCGAAGACCGGGAGTACAGAGGCCACTTCTCGTCAGGTTTGTGAGGTTTTCTAAAATCCGAACATAGATCATTTTATGAGCGTTAATTATTACAAGCATTATTTTGTGACTTCGAACTTGCGTTTTTTATTTTTTATTGCTTGGATGGGTGAAGGAGCTCACGGCCCACACGGTGTTGACTGGTTACCGTAGCCCATAGCCATCAACAACGTAAATGCCGCCACCCACTTGAGACATGAATTCTAAGGTCTCACTTGTAACAGTACAACGGCTGCCCCGCCCTTCAAACCGAAACGCATTACTGCTTCACAGCAGAAATAGGCGGTGTGGTGGTACCTACCCGTGCGGACTCAAAAGACGTTCTACCACCAAGTATAGTGCAAAATCTTGGTCAAAAGATGCGTTTCAATTATGCAATAAGTTAGTAGTAGTGAATATTCTAAATTAGTTTGTAAGACTAATTACCTTAAAAGTACCTACGTATTTCTACAGCTAAGCAGTAGAACGTTCTGGTCTAAAAGGACGGATTAGATGATAGAAATCTAGGTGATTAGCGGCATCTAACTTACGATGTCCTTGGGCGCGTATAATCGCTTTGAAGTAGGCTCATCAGCCATCAACGCTGGAAAAATATTAGCAATGTCTTACCCGGTAAGAGCAAACTGTGTGAAAGACTGCATAATGTGTGCAGCTAAATCACGCTCCCGGGAATGGTACTGAAGGGACATGTTCAAGGGATGTCCAAAAACATATTCCATTTCGTCACCATGCATCACACCCATCCATTCTCCCCAGAGACTTGTGCTGGTACGCTGAAATAGGCAACAACAGAAAAAAATCAGTTGATGTGAACTACAGTACACACAAGACTCATTTAATAAAAATGTAACAAGCAAAATATGCATTTCAATTCATTTAGAAATGAGGTGGCATAATTTTGAAGTCTTTTTTACGAAGATTTTCTTGCACATTATTAGTTTTTCTGTACAAAATAATCTCAAGGTGTTAAACTAGAAATATTCCTAACTATTTACCGAATTTAATACCTTACATTAATTTGCTTCAAAATAATGAAATAATTATGGTTTCAAAGTAAAACTTTAGGATACATCTTGCATAATTGATAATTACTGTGATAAGTAATGTGTGAAACAATTAAATTGTGAGGATTTTTAATTTTCTCGGCTATCCTTTTAACAGGTTATTTTGAAATAAGCTAACAAATTGGAAATACTATCAAAATCTTATATATAAAATTCTCATGTCACAATGTTAGTTACCATACTCCTCTAAAACGGTTAGACCGATTTTTATGAAATTCTATATCGACGCTTGAAAGGCAAACATGACTAAGCGACAATGCGTGAACTTTACAGTAGAGCAATTTAAAGTTGAAATATTTGGAAAAAAAAATATTTTAACGAATCTAACTGTAGGATTGAAATTATTTTAATAGACCTAGATATAGTTTTTTTTTGCCCATCGAATATACTTAAAGGCTATTGCCTATCATTTGTGTATATAGCAGTTATTGTCGCTTATATATATTGTCCATAATTTGATAAACAGGTAAAATTATCTGAATTTTATATAAAAGGTTTCTCGTCACAANTCTAAAATAACTTTTTTTTTGTCGTTTGGTAGGAAAAAACTCTGCATTTTTATGAAAATCACACCATATCTAAGCGACATAAAACACGTCACAGAGTGATGAAACCTATACTAAACGACGCAGAAAAATCAGACGATTCCAATGGTGTATCTAACTCATTTTGCCTACTTTTGTCGCTTAGTCAGGATTGCCTTTCAAGCGTCGATATGCATATTCAGTAGATCTGAGAATCGGCTACTATCTATTTTTCATACCCCTAATTGCTAAGGGTTGTCCACCCCTATCGTTTATTTTTTATTTTTTGGACAATTTTTTTTGTTGTAATGAGGCATTATGTGGTTGAATGAGGTTTTGTACACTAGCAATAAGTTAGTTTTTTTTTCTACATTAGAAATCTTATATATGGCAAAACAATGTTTGCCGGGTCAGCTTGTGTTTTTATAAAGCTTTTTCTTATGTTCGTTTTGTCAAATTCAAATGCAATCTTTAAAAAAAAACGCTAAGTAAGTTCTATTAAAAATACATATTTGTATATTCTCAACAATAATTGTGGGCAAGCGAAATGATGGCGAAACTGGCAAGATATGTACACCTGGCCCTCCAATTAGGTACGGTAAGAAGTCAGAGCGTCCAAACGTAGCGCACAGGGCAATACGGAGGAGCTGACCTATTTCAGAGCCTGAATAAATTATTGTTGATTTGAATTCCAGCAGAGCATAGAGAACAAAATTACCTTGTATACTAACGTAGGCAAAATCCAATGTAAATTACAAGACTACTCATTACCAAACTTTCCATGAGGGCCGTGACGTGTGTATTCAAAAATTCAACCTCGATATTGATTTGTCAAATAGAATATTCAATGAGTTACAGCTATACTCTATTATTATATATTACAGCTATACTCTATGGTTGACACGTATCGATTTACACCTAAAGCCTTAAATAAATATTAAGTGTATTTATTATCTATGACCTAAACATTGAAAGCAAAATAACTATTTTAGTTACCTAACGTTCAGGCTGTCTCGGTGGAATAAGTTAGTAAAGATTATTTTATTTTATATATTTATTTTATTTAACCTAAATAGGCTTTAAATTGAGAGATGAACAGAAAATTTACTTCTAATAACATTTAAAATTGTCTACTTCTTCTTCTCTTAAAATTTTCTTTTCTTTTTTCAATGATTTATAAATATAAGCATTTACCTGGTAATATAAGCGGCTACCATTATATATTGATCTATTTTTTTATTCCTTAGATGGGTAGACAAGCTCAAGATCCATCTGTTGTTAAGTGGTTACCGGAGTCTAAAGTCATCACCAATGTAAACACTGCCACCTTGCACACTTTGAGACATAAGTTGGAAGTCTCCGTTTTATAGTAGTAACAACGGCTGCTTCGTTCTTAAAACCGAAACGCATTACTGCTTCACGGCAGAATTAGGCAGGATGGTGTGATATGGCAATACGGTCTCTAAAGACGACCCTGCCGACCAGTACCTAATTATTCAAATTAAATTTTTTGTGGGTTTTATTTATACTATACTTCACTAATTTTTATTACTTAGATGAGTGGACGAGTTCACAGCCCACCTGATGTTAAGTGGTTACATCGGACATCTACAACGTAAATGCGCCACCCACCTTGAGATATAAGTTCTAAGGTATCAGTATAGTTACAACGGCTGCCCCACCCTTCAAACCGAAACGCATTACTGCTTCACGGCAGAAATAGGCAAGGCGGTGGTACCTACCCGTCCGGACTCACAAGAGGTCCTACCACCAGTAATTACGCAAATTATAATTTTGCGGGTTTGATTTTTATTACACGATGTTATTCCTTCACCGTGGAAGTCAATCGTGAACATTTGTTAAGTACGTATTTCATTAGAAAAATTGGTACCCGCCTGCGGGATTTGAACATCGGTGTATCGCTAGATACGAATGCATCGGCCGTCTTATCCTTTAGGCCACGACGACTTCAAAAATTTCAACGTACGTTAGTCAAATACGTATCTCATAACAAAAAATGGAGCCTGTCTGCAGGTGAATTCTACTAAACAAACTATTTTGATCGTGGATTCATTAGAATCGAAGCAAGCCCGCGGATCTAATTTGAAGGGCAGAATAATAAATAACAAGAAAAGAAACTAAGATAATATCTATACATATAAATAAAATTGGAGTGTCTGTTTGTAATATTGAAATAACCGCTTTTTACTATATGCATATGAATATACGGTTATACGGTTCATATACTGCTTCACGGCAGAAATAGGCGGGGCGGTGGTACCTACCCGTGCGGACTCACAAGAGGTCCTACCACCAGTAATTCACAAGAGGTCCTACCACCAGTTTGTCTGTCTGTCTGTCTGTTTGTTCCGGCTAATCTCTGGAACCACTAGACTGATTTTGACTTTCACTGATAGATAGTTGATGTTATAAGGAGTAACTTGGCTACTTTTTTTAGACTAGCTTCGCCCCGCGGCGTCACCCGCAGTTATTGTCGTACCGCGCGCAACATGGCGGGCTTCGCCTATCAATAATAAAATTTAATGTTTCCGAAGCGAAGTGAGGGCGGGTCACTAGTTCCTAATATAAACAGTGAGCCAAGTAGGAGTAGTAGATTAAGAATATCGAGACACCAGTAACCTCGTGTATAATCCTTATTTGATAAAAAATAAAACAGATTTAAATGAGTTATGTTTGTAGATAAATCTAGTAGACAAATGCAACTATCGTCCATGTTATTAATACCGATATTGTTAATTTCCAATGTTCAATGGTTGTTTTATATTCGTGCTTAAAGACTTTGACTATATTGATTAACTCCCAAAATATAATTAATATTCAATCCATGACCTTTAAAAACTTATTTTGATCACATCCTACGGCCATTTTCTGATTCATTGAATCAAATAAATGTCGGTTCAAACTGTTTATTATCTTACCAAAAGTTATTACATTCAGTTCATTTACTTAGATAAACAAAAAACGTTAAAGGTTACACAGTTTTAACAGGTGCTCCGTAAAACACCGTCAACAAATCAGGCTCTATAATATAACTTACTCATAATAATTCGTTAGTAGTTAATGTATCCGTTTCGTTGGTAGCGTATTATATAGGGAAGTCTGTTTATTCAATTGTTGAAATTACCGTGTGAGCGATATAGCTTGTGAAGCTCAACTTAGTTGGTACGTATATGAGTTCTTTTTATGAATATAGTTCGAGCTTTCGTTCGCTCCGGGTTCGCCACGTTCCAGTAGTAATCAGTTTTATTAGAATTTATACGTGTTGATTTTGATTGATTTGATTATTTGTTAAATAGTTTTAAATAAACCCGAAGAGTGTATACTAAGAATTATTTCCGTGATTAAATCATAGACAACGACCGGCTCGGTAATGAAAGACAACACTACCCATCGTCAAGCATTTAAATATCAATAAACGTAGAAATAAAAGAAATGAATATTAAAATCAGTCAAATGTGATTAAATTGTAGACATCAAAATATCTGCTTGGTTTTAATTTACTGATCTTTCAACCAATGCCTTATCATGCATGAGTGACGTATTATATACCAATGTCGGTACGTCTATATCTAATGTAAATTTGGGTAAAAGATCAGTCTATGATCTTTCTGCGTATAACACATATTACTTTAAGCCGGTAATAGTTTAAGTATTGTACGTACTTTTATGAATATTGTATGTGATATTATGTGTGCATATACTGGTCAGGGTTCCCGCATTATTCTGTTTATTTATCCCGCTTTCTGCTTTTAGCATTTCATTGAAATTCCAATTCAAGAAGTATTACGGCCTTCTGTCTATGGGTTCTGGTATCCACTTAACTTGTCTCGAGCTCAACTGACCACGTCCTTAAGTAAAACTAGATGATGATCGCATCCACAAAAGTCATGCGTTAATGCTGCAACAATATTAATAAGAAATACAAAGTTCTTCTCAAGGTCCCTCCGTTCTACTTTTATAAACACTAGATGATGACCTTTTTTTTGATAACGCCATCTTGTTGTGTCTTTAAAGCGGTTAGCTGCCCTCAATAAAGAAAAATAGTATTATTATTCGCCAATAGATGTCGGGAAGATTGATTATTGAAAACACGAATAAAACAACATTTTCGGAAAATAAATCGTAACTAGATCGATTTATCGCCCCCGAAATCCCCTGTATACT